CAATATTTGGGTCACCCTAACTTTTCATCAGGTGGGGAAGGTCACCCTAATTTTTTGGCTTTGCGAGTTTTTGGCCATAAGAAGTTTATACACCAAGTTTGAGCGAAATCGGAGAGGTCATCTGCAATTTTTGTTACACTTGGTGTGGAATGGTCGAGTAAGAGATTTTCAGAAGAAACAAAAAAAGTAGTCATCAAAAATAAAATCAAAAACAAACTCATTGAAATGCATGAAAAATGCAAAGAAATTGCGTAGATTTTCCTTGCAGTTTTCCAAAAAAAAAAAAAGAAGAACAAAACAAACGGCATTCCGCCAGAAATTTGAAGAAGGAAAGTTATGAGATAGTTATTGCGTGTGTGTTTCGGTGTACATACCCATATTTGATATGTATGCGATACAAACGTCAATCAATGGAGAGACAACCGAATCAATTGCAGTAAAACAGAAAAAAATGTTGATCGGACGAAATGTCTCTCTCATTAGAATTTGTTTGTATCCGAGTGACAAACCTGTTGCGTTGTTTGCCACTTTCCAGTGCGAATGCAGACAAATTTCGATTGTTAAAATCAACAAGGACTTTGAACACACCTCAATTCGTCTGCATCAAGAACCAAAGCCAAAAAGAATAGCGGATGCCTGACACCGCCCAAACAAACCTCCAATGCTTCTACCGTATTTTTTCTTATGTAATCCGCCTCCAATGTGAGCCATCATGCCATGATGACCACCATGTCCAAAGTGTCCACCGTGACCGTGTGTTACGTCTGGAATTTCATCGACGAGCTGATAAATGTCTGGCTTCTGATATTGGATCACCTCGACCACCTCGGGCTTCTTTTTCTTCTTCTTTTTTTTGTCCTTCATTTTTCGGCCCTCCTCCGAATCCTCGCTCACTGCATGTGGTGAAACGCTGCAACGATAAAATCCCCGAACGTTCAAAATCCCGAATCAAATTCGATTCAAATCGTGGATCGTATCCGGTGCAAAATCGACACACCACACACACACACGCACACACATACATACCTTTTGAACACACTTCGCATGTAGTCTTCGAGAGATGAGAGCATTGTGGACGGTTTCTCCAGCCCAGAAATTTCCGTATCGCTCATACCACGCGCGTTCAACTTCGATGCGAACTCGACATCGGCTTCAGCTGTAACACAATAAAGTTCAATATTATCAGGTCAAATTCATTCAACTTCAGTGTGTACAATTATAGAAATTCTGCAAAAAAAAAAACATTAGCACGGGTGCTGCGAATGGGAAAGTAAATAAATTGGCCTTGCTCGGCTTTTTAATCTCATTTGTATTATTTGTTTTTTTTTTCTTATTGTATACAATTTCATTGATCGCATAAATCGTAGTGTGTTGCTAAAAAAACATCGCCGATTGTATTGTGTGTTTGTTTTTAAGCAAAACGAAGAAAAGTGGCTCTTCTAACAAGGTGAGCGCGTGTGCATGCGCGTTCTCTTGCTGCACGAATTCATTCACATAACCGCCGTACGGTGTTAGAATTTAGCGGGAAATATGGGAAAAAAACACAAATCAAAGACAATAAACTGATTAATTTGCTTTGTGGTGTGAACGATGTTGTGTACGGCAATGATAATCTAGATTCAATTAAACATCAGCTACAATGTAAATACACATGCGGTTGCGTCTGGTTGCATGTGTACATTATGTTCTCTTGTTGTTCTTTGTTTTTAAACTTCTTTCTGGTTTAGTCGTTCTTCATATGGTTTCTCGGTTGACGTTGTTGTTTCTTTCTCCCAGAGAAAGTTTCTTTATATAACTTACGAACTAAAGAACAAAAGAATGTGTTATAAATGCGCGCAAAAAAAAATGTGACCGTTTAGCAAGTTATTTTTTCTTGCCTTTTTTATTGTTGTTGCTGCTGCACTGTGAGTTATTAATTTTCATTCGCGCAAATCGGTGCAACGGAAGCAGCGGCAGTCACAACAAAAACATAGTGGCGGCGGCGTGTTTTCGTTCAGAACAGTCGTTATGCTGATAAAAAAAGACACCTATATATCATATTATGATATCATAACTTCACGCCAGCAGCCAATTTCCATTTGACTCACTTTATAATAAATAGAGAAAAATAGATCTCAACCGTGTGTCAAGCCACACGGTTTGTTTTTGTTGGGTTTTTTTTTTCCACCTCTTTCTTCAGCTATCACGAAGATTGCAATAATTTACTTGATTTGAAACCAGATTTTTTGCCCGTTTGCATTAGTGACAGTTAGCTGTTATTTTTATTATCCCATGGCACAGTCCATGAGGTGTTGTCCGGTCTATTTCAACTCCGACTATGGATGTGTGCCATTTCGTATACAAACATATGCATGACCTGTTCGGAAGATAGCTCGGCACCATGTGCCATGCAATCGAACATTCGAGAAGAACTATGCAAATGATATCGCTGTCAACTAGGTCATCATCTAACAGCATCTCTCACGGTTCAAACCCGCACAAGATGTGTGTTTGTGTTCGATTTTGCAATCGAAAAAGAAGATATTTCCTAAAATTGCGTGATTTCCAAAACGGAAAAAAGCATGGATAAAAATTCCGTGATGATGATGAAAAAGGAAAAAAATGCATCACGTGATGCCAACGTCGAGTAAGTGAGCAGTGAAATAGCGGTGTGGATATATCCGTCACATATTATTGTTTGTCATTTTAATGATCGTCAAAATCGATTATCGCCGCTGCACATTCAATGGCAATGCCGTGTGCACGTTTGTTCCCCATTGAAAGCGTATGTGTGTATGTGTGTCTATCTGCGAGAGAGGCGATCGGACGAAAGAATCTTAATTCCATGTGTGATTTACATTAATGGCAACCGATACATGTGCAAATATGAAACGATGCATCACTACAAAATTGGTCACTTATACGTATTGTTTTCCCCTCAATATGTTTTTGGATTTTTGTTGCTCATTCCTATTCCCTCTGTCCCTCTGTCTCTCTGTCTACTTTTTTTTCCATATTCGGAATCATGAATAGGCAATGTGGCTATGTGCCAAGATGAAGAGAAACGAGATTCGAGAAGAAAATCGCGTGTTTCGTTGTGATGTGTAGTACAAATCATGGATGCCTGAGCATCGCATGTATGCTAGATATTGGTTGAAATCGATTTCAAATGAATGCACACACATGCGCGCTCGTATTCGCGCTCGTTCAACCGGCGAGCTACATCTTTATCACGATTTTTAAATAAATGTCAATTATGTGAACCATCTTCGATTTCACAATGTTTACAGTTTGCATGTGCATGTGCATGGGCTACACAACATTGAAACAACGGCTATGCTAAGAGGGAATCGTTTCGATTTTTTCTCGTTGGCCGAGAGCATGAATGAGCGAGCGCACACGCGCTCGCACCTTTCCATCCGCGTGCGCGCGGTGCTAAATTTGTACCACTTCATCAGTGATCTTCGGCATGTCATTTTTGGGTTCGGTTTTCTTTGTTTTCTTGTTGTCATAGTTGTCAAGCGAGCAGCATTGTTTCCTCGAATCAATGTAAATCGTTTCAGCCAACAATTTCTCGAATCGTAAGAATTCAACTTGATTGCAGCTCGAATTGGTTAAATGACTGTTGGCTAAACGTACATCGTGCTAGTAAATCGCCCCGGCAAAATTCAAATGAAACAGGTGCCAGAGATTTCGGAGGAAGAGCGGTATGCTCTTTTAACACAATGTATATGTAATGAGTTGGCAATTGAGTTTGGTAATTTAATTTTCATTTCATGGGGAAGACGGAAGTGCATCCATAGCTGGCGGCCGTCGATCTAGTCGTGTCTAGCTGTGCGCAAAGAAAGTGGCGAAATTTAAATGAGGCGAAAAATTAGATGAAAATTTCTCATAAGTATGCACGATTTCGATCCGTTTCATGGTTGGAGGCATATGATTATTGTGCCACAACAAACACAGACACCGATCGAAACGATAAACTCTGCACCAATAATTGATGCATTAACAATGAGAAGAAGAAGCTCTTCAATTGTGCTTGATATGCGCAATGCAAACCAAATGCTAACCCACTGAACAAAATTATGCTAGATTTGTGGCTCACTACCGTTTTCGTTACGGAAAATTAAAAACAAAGATAGAAAAAACAACATCAATAGCACAACAACCATATACACTGGTCGTAATCATGAGCAAACAGAAAGTATTTGTGTGTTTATTTTTCTTCTTCCATTTGATTTGCCAAAGGTGAAAGCCTTTGTTTATACCAACGCGCGCGCATCCAGCATCGTGGAATTGATAGCACGGTATAATGTCTTCGGATGTTTACTGAAAATTTATGTTTGTTCAATTGTTTTTCTGCGCTTGTTATCCTAAATATTTATTGCGATGCTTGATCGCTTCTCTCTGCGGCTATTCGCCTTCTTTACTACTTCATGGTTCTAATGCTGATGCTGTTGCTGTTGATGTTGCGGCTGTTTTTGGTTTGATCGCGCTCGCGCGCTCGTCCGCTCATCAAGGGAAGATGGGTAAATGCCGTGTCTCAACGGAGGCACTCCAAACAAATAACGACTCGGTAAATCATGGTGCAAAAGTGAAATGTCTCTTTGCTTGTGATATTGGTTTAGTTGGACACGATTCGTTAGCTATTTAGATAGGAAAACAAAAAAAAAACACAGACAACTCGGCTTGACTTGATGGCATTCGTATGCATTTGATTTCGATATGTTTTTTCCGTATCTCCACGATTCGTTGTGCCATTGAATTATTTGCTAGCAAAACATCGCGATATGTGAGCTTGGCAATTCTCGAACCAGACCCGAACCCATTGCCACACTGTGTGCTTATGTGTGTGCATTGTTCAATGAACTTCAACTTTGGCGAAGAAGCGATGACATTTTGATATTTTTGAAAGACAGTGGTTTGAAAAAAAAAAAAATTCAGCACGGTATGCTGTACCGTAATTTTTCGCTTTGTCGGAAAATGCAGGTTAGTGAATGTTTTGTGATTTTGCGTTTTCCAAACGAAAGTCGCGATATTCCCATCTTCACACACAGCAATGTTGCAAATTGAGGATATAAAATGTTGTTTTGCCTTCACTTTTTTCGTCGTCGCCGTCGTTGTTGCTTCTTCGCCTCATCGCTAACGATTTCAAACATTCAGTTCATCTCATGACCTGATATTGAAACACAGTGCACCAGCAATTTATACGGTGACCGTGTCTCTCTTCGTGAAACTTTTCATTTCATCGCCATTTCCCATTGCATTGATTATGCTGCGATTTACATTTTTTTGTGTGTCATTTTCCTATATTTCTACAATTGCCACTGCTGCTCGCAGCCACCGCTTCACTTTCCTCAAATTCCGCAATTGAAAATTGCAAATTAAACGTTTCGATTCTTTGTGCTTCTTACCTTTTAGCTCGTTCACTTTTTCCACTAGAGCATCATCTATGATATCGAACAATCGACCCGAACGCTGATAAACACATTCCCACGGTTGCTGGTTGATCGTACAGGCCAACACATTCAAATATGATAACACATCTGCAATGGGAGAGAAAAATTGAATACAAAATGAAAAATCAATGATTAACTTTTGATTTACGATATTTCATGGGCTATCATGTGCGAAATTATATTTATCATATTGGATTTTAGGGATTTTTAAAAACAGAGAAAATTGATTCAAACAAATGTATCCAATTGGATCCTTTTCTTCATTTCCTCAGATATTGATGTACACTGATTAACACTTCAAATGAATGACTCCTCTCGCCTTTTCGGATTGAAACGACCAAACTTTTCTAAATTTCGAAAAAATTAGTTTTGAGTTTGGATTTTATGGACAAAAGAACTCAATTCCTTCCATTCTTGCGGTTAGACGGATCACGGACGAAAAAGATAAAAACAAATCTTGGTTAAACCTTGGTTGAAGATCATACACCTGATGAATGAAATGTCGATCTAAAGGGGAAAATCCAAACTTCAAACAGCATTAAAGCCTGACTGCAAATAAAATACAGCAGCAGAATACTGTAGAATACAGAACAAAATAAGACTCGACCCAAAATTTCGCTACTTCACTCAAAGCATCGAGTGTATACATAAGGTGCATGAATTTTCATTTTCGATACTCTCTTTAGTGCAGTTCATCCAGTATGCATTCTCTTTATTCTCCCGTATATTTTGGGACGTAGCCGTATGGATTTAACCTACATCATCTGTGTTCTTTGGCGAATAAGAACGCCAATATCGTGTGTCTCAATGATAATGATATGTATAGCCAATTGTGTTTACATTCGAAAGTGTACGCAGTACATGGCATACGCGATGGGTTTTTGATTGTCATTGAATATATATATATATATATATATGTGTGTGGGGGGGGGGGGTAATGAAAGAAGAAATTGTTTGTCTGGAATCATGAAAATTGGGTGGCACATTCACATTGGTGAATTTGCCGGTGAAATTCGAGTTCTTGAAATTTGTTTATTCTTCTTGTGTTTTTAGTTGTTTTCAAAAGAAAGTCAACGACACGCTATCGACATCTATTCATAACATCATTTTGGCATTAACAATATTTGACATGAATACTTATTATAGGACGGTGCTTTGATAAATCAGTGTTTGAACATTTTGTGCGAAGCAATGAATTAATTCGGGCTACGCGCAGTTATGCATATGGGAAAAGAGAAAACAAAACCAAATGTGACGACCGATCGCAATTGCTCGCATTTCGCCAATAGAAATGAGACAATCTACCGACCGACCGAATGAATGAATTAATAAATGAATGAATTGAACACAGGAATGTGTCATAAGTAGAAAATTTTACTAATTTCATAAAGAAAAATGTGTTCGTATTTTGGAAGCGAGAAAAATTGGAACACTTTCATTTGATCAGCGTTTGATTGCGATTTGGATCGATTCGAGTTGGGACTGCGTGACCAAATGGCATATTCCTGTTTCCAGACAAGTGGTTATCGGAATTTGTTTTCTTTTCATTTTTCTCTCTCTCTATCTGCCTCACACACACACACACACATACACACACACACTCTCTCTCTCGCAATCGCAATTGTTAATTGTGGTTGTTTGCTGGTTCTGAGTATTTCCTTTGTTCGCACATTAAACAAATCTTGTTTGGTTTGTGTGATAGATTTAATTTAAAGTGAAAATTAATACAGATCTCTACCGGTTAAAATCGGTGCAGATTGTATTCGCGCTCGCGCGTATACATCGCTTGTTTTATTTCGTTGTTCGTTCGATATCGTAGACGAAATAAAGAACAAGCGTAAAAATACCCATAATAACGATATCAAATGAAAAGAAATGAAAAGAGAAAAAGAAGAAGGAGAAGAAATGCCGTGAATTTCTGTGCCAATGTTTAAAAAAACAAACGAGATGTTCAAGTCGGCCAGTTAAAAAATGTGTGTACACCATTTTAATTGGTTTGGTTAGTTGCGTTCAACATTTTCTCAACTGTTGTGTGGACTTGTTTTACTCTCTCGGACCATGTGTGCACGTGTGTACGTGTGTGTTTGTTGGCTTGAGTCTGAGCTGCGGTCTTGATCTTCAGTACACGCATGATTCAGTTTTATTTTAAACGTAGCGTCCTATCACGTATCATAATCGCATGGTGCAGCAGCGAAACACCTAATGAATGAGTGCAGCAGCAACTGATTAATAATGTTCATAGAAATTCAAACTGAAATCGAATCAAATGGAGATACATGCAACATTGTGTGATGTTCAATTCATCAAAAATTTGTATCGTTCTGTTTCTTTGTCTTATTTCGATGTGCAAACATGGCAAACAATTGCCATGCAACACATCTCACGTGTGTCTGAACTATATATTATTCAATTCCCTTTTTAGTGAAAATGCCGCATACACAGACGAAAAGCAAATATGCACAAATAATAACACGATTCCTATGCTAATTCAATCGACATGCACGCCAATCAGTCATTTTCATTGTGTTTTCGGTTTTGGTTTTTTTTTTGCATAGAATTGAACGCATTGTTGATGCTGTTTTTGATTTCTTTGATTTATTTCACTCTGTATCATCTGGTTCAATATTTGTGGTGTGTATGATACACATAATTTCACTTTGCATTGCTCGATGTGAGCGCGAGCGCGCGTGTTTGTGCAGTAAAATGAAATTCATATCGAGAAAGAATTTCATCGGCGACTTGTTTCTACCATTCGCCAGAGCCGAAGAGTATTGCGAGCGTGATGGCATCGCTAGATTTCTAGAGAAATCAGACTGTATTCAACTGTGGATACGACAAATGTATTTCCTGTTTTCCATCGGCACTCGAGTTGATCTTGTTTGGTTGTGGCCGCTTTAAACATCTAAAATTATTTTTCTTGCTCTTAATCAGCAGCCCATTTATGAGTAAATAGCGAAAGGCTATTTTAATCACTGATATTGAACACTGTTGCGGCTGCCGCTGCTGCTTGGCATCATTCTAAAATACCAAAATCACGGGCATTTCAAATTCAAAATTACCATTGCGAATGGGAATGCATATCGCCAAAATGCAGCAAAGCGATCATCTTGTTCAACATAAATGTGATCCATGTTCTTTTGGCGTATCACATTCCGGTTGATTCGCACCAGTGACAAAAAGAAAAAAAAAGAAAATCACTCATCGGCATTGCCGTTTTGACATCGATTTCGTTCTGCTGTATTATACATCAATTTTTTTGTTGTTTTCTGTTCGCTCTTCAAAACCAAAGTCAGTTTCATTATCCATCATTAACATGCACTTGGTGTTTCCATGTTTTTTTATTCGCTGTTCACCGTAACAATTTCACTTTCACGCGCCGTGTCTATCCACGAGAAATAATCAGTTAATCGTTATACTTCCGTGCCGATTTTGAATCGCGTGTCCGCGAATTTTTTCACGCATTCCATGATCTAGCCATCGCTCTCTAACCGAGAGTTAGAGACTCTCTCTCTCTCTCTCTCTCTCTCTCTCTCTCTCTGTACCATTCCCCCAATCGAACAAATTCAATATTTATATCTGTTTGTTTATTAATTGAGTTTCGATCGCTTTTGCACCAAACCAATTAAACACCATTTGCACGTTTGACCAAATCGCTCGGTTTCCTCTTGCCACAAGAAAGTTGAATCGCCTGAAATCGACGGTGAATTCATGGTATTATCATAGCTATGTTTCGGTATTGTTGGTTTTGGCGCAGAAAATATCGCCGGCTTTTACACGGTTTGAACAAACGCACACACACACACACACACCATCTTAATGCTTCGCTGAGGCCGTTAACAGTAGTTTTCAGTTTGATTTATTGTTTCGGGGAACACCTCTGAAAAGTGAGCATCATGCCGATGTAATTTGTGTTTGCCTTTTTTCCGACGTTGTAATTGTTGTACCATGTTCTAAGAGTTTTGTGCCGATGCCAAGGAACCAGTTGTGTGGTGTGTGCATTGTGCAGATATAAAGTTCAATGTCATGACCGGAATCAATTGAGTAACGATAGATTATTGATGGTTTTTATTGCAACTATAAAAATTGCATCACGTTAAACCGCATCGTAATGAACGAGACAGAAACAAAAAGGCACGAAGAAGAAGCCACTAAATGGTACTGTTAATTTTTCACGTTTTCATCATGGTCAATCTTATGTAAGCCACCCAATTTCTATTCTATAATATGCCATAGGCTGAATGTAATGCTGTTTTTTTTTTCTCGTTTCTTATACGTCACCGTGAATAGCTTGTGTGTAAAATGTGTATAAAGGTAAACATCTTCCTAACTTAAATTCAATTTTTGAGCACACAATTTAAATGAGCTCGAGTATAGAAGTGGCTGAGGAAGCCAAGGTAAACCAACAAAAATAACAAAAAAGAACCGACATGCCAAGCAGACGAGCATGTCTCAATTCAGCACACATGCCATCGTCGTCGTCGTCGTCGTCTCCGTCTTCATTTTAATTTTTCTGTTTTTGGGTGCAGTTATGAAACATTTCAATTAAAATTTATGTGCGAATTGAGGTCATTTTTCTTCTTTTCTACACTGTTATTTTGGCCTTTGTCATGTCATTATTTGGGTTTCTTAGCTCATGATTTGATTTGTCGGCTGAATTCTTTTTTGTTGAATAACTTTTTTTTTCTTCTTTCAATGCTTACACCTTCTATTCACAGCAATTGAATGAAGAAGAAATTCCCAAATTTAAACCAATTTCAGCGCATTCTTTTGTGGTTTTGAATCAAAAAAAAAAAAAAAACTTTTGATCGGTGATCACATCGAAATCAGAACAAAACAATCAGTTTATTCGCCAATATTCAAATTTGCTCAATGTATACCACAAATGTACGTCAATTAGATTGATTTTTGGTTTAGTTTGGATTTGAAGTTTGAAGGAATGGCCGAAAAAGGAAAACCAATGGAATAAAAATCAATGCTCACCTGATTTTGTCGACTCACACCGCACATTCGTCACGCCAAACAATATCAATAAAACAAATGTTCTCTGTGATATAATCATGTCGATGCGTTTTATTCGGCTACTGCTTTCCAAATACCGCAACTACTCCGTATTTTTATACTGGTTTTACTTGCTAAAACTAATTTTATTCTTCTCCTTCAATATTTATCGTAAGCAACAACTAATTGTTTTTTCTCCAAAAAAATTATTTAACGTTTTTTTATGCACCAAATCATTGCGAATTTCGTATTTAATCTGTACACCGTGTATGTATGTTGTCAGTTTGTCTACTAATCGTTCACTGCTCGTGTTTTGTACGTTTATCTTTGGATCCGAGGTATAGCACAATGCATGCAAATGGTTCAACAATTAACACTTCTTTATGCTCTATACAAAATGCGTTGCCATTGACTTGAAAACAAAATGTGGTTTTTTTACGACGGATAACATAAAAAAATGAAAGAAAAAAACAAATTAAAACAATTGAAAATGGCCATATACAATGAAATTTTTGAGGGAAAATGAAAAACGACTGTTCAACGGACGCACTCAGACTTATATGTTGACCGAACAGAACAAAAAAAAAAAAATTAATAATTTCAAGTTTATTGTATGGTGTATATATGCGTACTCTCTCACATGAAATGTACCTCTTTCTTCGGTGTATGCTATAATAACGTTACCATCTCGCTAGCAAGTCCAACACATGAATGACGCAAAATTTACTCGGTGCCGAACATTTTATATGAAACGCAAACGCCTGACCTAGTACTCGGCAGCACAATGTACGTGTGCGAACCGACAGAAACAACTACACCGTGCTCTTATCACCGTAAAAAATACTCTCAGCGTTACAAAGACGTACCACTCTTTGATCTTCCTCACTCATGCCAATTTCAGCGGCAGCTCTTCAGTTTGCAGCATTTTCTTTTTTTTTCATTTTCCAACAACTTCAATTGTTCACCATTCACGCTGCCGTTCAATTCATTCATACGGCCATATCGTGCTCAGCCAAATGATAGTGTCAACGACAATGTGCCGATTGGCCAAACGATAATTTTAGCCATCAATCAGACAAGATCCGTTCGCGATTAATTATTTTCTATTCACTTTAAGGTTTGAGAAGAGTTCATTCAGTTCAAAGATGAAGAAATTCGATCTTTTCAAAGAAAACGAATTTAAATCTTTTTTATTTGAGTTTCGTGGTACAGAAGTTCGTACATTACAAAAGAAAAAAAAAATTAGTTTTTCTTAAGACAATTTACAAAAATTCAATAACTCATTTTAATCGATTGATAATAATTGATTGTGTTGCCCAATCTTAAAGTCGTCTCTTCATTAATATTGTGGCATCCTATTGAGCTCTTAAAGCTTGAAGCGAACGATATGATACGATATGATATCGAAATCTGCCTTTGAATCCACACTTTCGTCTCTGTTCCTCGGCGTAACATGTGCACATAAATTTCAACACTATTAAATCCTGGTCATATTTTAGTTGATCAACGAGCTGATTTTCCTAAGAAATTCCATTTCAAAACGTATCCCACTTCATATTTATCGGCGATTACTTTTTAGGTATTGCTCATGGTTTTTGGAATCGAAATATTACAAAAATCATTTGAATTGATCGAAAATGATGGTCAATCATGGACGACCTATTATCATGGAGTGAACCGACGTCGAGGTTTTTATTGCATGTGCAAAAGGCAAGTCGGTACGTCTTTTTTTATATCTCTGAATGATAACATTATTTATATAAATGTGAAATGGGCCCATCATGGCATCACAGCATCAGTCGCCGTAGCAGCAGAAGCATCGGCATTCAGCAGGTTGATCGAAAGTATTCTCATTTAAATGCTTACGATGGCATATTTTGTGTCATTTCTTTCTATTGAACACATTTTCTGCACACAAAATGCAATTGCCTGCATAAATTTTAAAATCAGGTAATAGCTCCGTTTACTCTTGATACCGTTGATTTTTCATTGGGAGAGAGAATTTCAAGAAGAAGAAGAAGAAGAAAGCGAACGAAAAAAAAACACACACAATTTTGTTCGAACAAATCTATATGCATTTGATAAAGATAAAATGGCTTGTTTGTTTGGTCGATCGTTTCACATGCGGCAATGAAAGCCGATTCGGTGGATCTTTTTCTATTAATTCGCAGCACAAGCGCAAAGCTTTTTACCCACATTTTAAAAGAGTACACAATTTGAACATGTTCACGGTGTCGGGATGGGCCGAACATGCAAATCCATTCGACATTGGACGAGAGCCGTGGTTAGCTAAATTTCACCGTTGGAAAAAAGAGAAAATGTGTCTTCCTGTGCGCCGATGAAGTGTCTTTTTGTTTAACGAATTAAATGAGACGGAGAAAAGTGGACACATAAATGTCGTGTGGCTGACAACACACATTCCAAACACACAAGACCCATCCGTTTCAAACATACACACAAAACAACGACCACGTGAAAATATTTTTTTTTTTGTTCTTTTCGAAATCGAAACCAACAACCAAAATCGGTCGTTTCAAAGTAGCCTTTGCACCAGGCCAACACAATTTACAATTGAGAAAATCATACAACCATATTGTACGACACTCATACCACTTTGGTTGCAAAACAGTTTTATTTGACGAAAATTCGCACAGTCGTTTCTTTTTTTGGTTCAGCTCATCAATACGTGAATCAAAGTTTGGAATATTGTGCAATTGGGAGAAAATAAAAAAACGAAATGGTGGCTTCAGTATCAAAATGTGGTTCAACGATTAATTTGTCATTGAAATTTTCATTTTAATTACTCCAAACATTGTGATTCAATTCAGCGCTTGGCTTTGTTGGAAAATATGGGAAATTCTTCGATGGGCTCTGAGTTTAATTCGACTTTTACCTGTTGATGGGATAGTCTGAAAAGACCAAATGAACGATCATTGATCATCGATCGATGGCAATTTGTCACTGGCGAAATGGGCCACTTCAAGCTTAAAAAGGGTATTCGTCATAATTTGAACATGAAAATGTATTAGATGCTTCAAAGAGGTCCCAGATGATGTGAAACAAAAAAAGCTTATGAAAAATGAACCGAATGCCCTTTATCGTCAAAACGATCGATTTGATCGTCGACGCTTCATCAGTGAGAACATTTGGTCGTATATGAGCTGAAAAGCTATGGAATATATGCGTACAAATGTATTTGATCCCATTCAATATATACAGATGCTCCGTGCACGGCACACTGCCACCAATACTCATATACCACATAATCAGTTGGAAAATGAAACAACTTCAGGACATTCAAAAAGAATGAAAAAAAAAGAAGAAACAATTTTTTGTTGATGCGACACACAAAAAGAAAATGAAACACAAAACAAAAATTAAGCAAAACTCTGTAAAACCGATAAGACGCAAATGAAACAGAAAAAAAATTTAACGCAAGGATCTAAAAATAGTATCATTCTTATCAGGTGGCTGATTTATTAATCATCACAAAGTCGACGCAAATTTACCGCTCAACGAAAATGTAATGCGATTTGTCGTCTGTTCGTCAAATGTGATGCCAGTGCTTATAGTACAGTGTGCTGCACACTCGTAGATGATTCATTGTCGCGATTATAATCGTCATGTAATAATTGGGAATAAAAAACGTTTTTTTTTTTTAAATGATTATCTACGATTGACTCACATTTTCATCAAATGCTATGTACTTTGTACTGCAAACGGAGACAGTGTCGCTGCCTGTAATTTCAGTTGTATTCGAACGTTTTTGTTAGTCGCATTATACATTTTGCGTTGATTACAATTAAAAAGTGGAGAAGTAATAAGAGCAAATGTAAGATTTCCATTGATAATATCCATTTATTTAAGTAAATAATTGACAATCATGGAATAATTTCAATTTCCCATCCATTCATACTGAGCAATTTGTCAATTTATATATATTGATTTGAAAGTTTATTGCATATTTTCTAGTTGATTTTTTTTTTCAATTCGTAAGAGTGGCTTTTTCTTAGTAAAAATAAGAATAATTTGCTCAAATCCATAACATTCACGTTTCAACCACTGTTTCATTCGAAGTGGTTATTATTAAACCAGTTCTTTAATTTTACACCAATGAATGCATTGTCGAAAATTAGAGAAAATAAAATCACTTTGAAAGCAAAGCAGTAGTAACTCCTTGGTATTCATCGAAGAAAATCATATATATATATATATATATATGATGCATATATGCATATATGAGTATATTTTTCGAATCGTAGGCAAATTGATGAAATACTTGCTAATCAGACTTGTTTCATTTGATAAACTTTTTTCTTGGTAAAGTCTTTCACTCTTTTAATCGCATATTCAAGCAATGAATAATTGTGACATTGACCATGAGATGGCATTACTATCGCTCGATCAACACCGAATGAAAGTAAAAACATCAGGGGAGCGAAGCAAGAGAAAAAGCACAATAATTTCAAAATAATATATATGCTTTACCCTGCGCCGCTAAAAATAGCCAGAAACATATTTCACGCTTCTACCGACAGTAGAAACAATGCACAGATATTGTGTTCAGTGCAGATGATTGTTTCCAATTTTATTAATCAACCAATTAAAATTCATCAGCTGACATGATCATTTTTCAAAGTTGATTCCGTTGAAATTTGTTGTGAAATTGGTTAGAAATTGTTGCATAAATTATTTTTATTCTATTTTTGTTGTTGTTGTTGTTGTTGCAAAATTGGTTTTCTCTTCCGGAAGATTCAGAAAGTAGCAACAAAAAAAGAATTTGACATAAAATCAAATTGAAAAGAAAAATTGAATTAACACTCGTATGGTCTTTGTGTCGATTGAATACCGGATTGCTTGGACTGCCGTTGACGCCCAGTTGCAAAAAAAAAATCACCTGAAAATATCAAGTGAATTGTGAAATTGTTTTTCCACACACAATAATGATCGCAGGAATATTAAAATTTCTTTTGCCAAAATCAAATCGTATCGATAACGCAATACCGAAAAACAGTATAAAGACCGTATGAGTGTTAATTGTAGTATGAAAAAAAACTATATTTGAAAGAAGAAAAAAAACGAAGAAAAAAAACGGAATAAGAAGAGTGCAATGTCAATGACAGACGAAAAACTAATGGACGGACTTGGAGCAAACTTCAGAACAGTCTGACGTTACACGCATAACGACACAAAACGACACATCTACACATAGTTGTATAAACTGCACACGTTTTTTCTTTGCTTAATACAGAAAGTGAGAGAGCGAGAGAAAGAAGAAGAAGAGAGAGAGAGAGAGAGAGAGAGAAGAACTCTGTAGTAAACCGACTAAACAATATTCCGACCGTCCATTTGGCACGAAACGGGTTCTCTACACAGTTGTGTGAATCGTGATTAAAGGCTTTGGATACACATAAAACACTTTTATTACACATATTTCGGTTGGATTCGTCACATCACATAGAATCGTGAGACGCATATAGTCAACATGGCAGAACGAATTGAAGCAATTAAAGTTTCGTTGAATCAAACCCTTAACGATAAGGAAAAACCATGGAAAAAGGCATTAGATTTGGCTGAAGAAAAAACTGGCGTTCCACGACTCTATCTATTCGCTGGTAAGTTGAATGTTTATCAAAATAATTATTTTTCTAAAGTTGTGCCGAGATATCATTCTTCAACCGTATTGAACAGAAGTAAAGAAGACAAATTTGTCACGTATTACACTAACTGACAATTTATGAACTCATTTGCCGGGCAACGTTGCTTTAAGGTGGGCAATGCGTTTTTTCAATCAATATTTCCAAATGAGGTGCATTAAAATGAGGATATAGTGTTTGTTTTCAATGAATCCGTTTTTTTTTCTGTCGATTTTTGTGATTTTTTTTCGGTTTTTTTTTTCTACTCGAAAAGAATTGCCAAAAGAATTTGACATGAAAAAAAAAATTATAGCAAAATTACATTAGTATAATAGGGAAACCGTTTAACTGTCTGCAAGGAATGCAAGGTTATAAAAGTAGACTAGATTGAGAAGAGAGAAGAGAAAAAAACCATGAAAAAACTCGATAGTTACGTCGCTCACACAGAAAAAGGGAAAAAATTAACAAAAGAATAGAAACGAAAAGCGAAAAGCAGCAAAAAAAAGTAGAAAAAAAAATTGAAGACAGAACAAAAGAGTGACAGAATGGCATTTGCAATGGATAAAAATTTTCAAAGTCGCATGTATGGTGTGTGTGTGTGTGTGTGTGTGTGTGTGTGTGTGGCACAAGTGTTGCGTGCACTGTGTGAGAAGAAAGGAAAAAAAATAGCCGAAAAAACCGACGAAATTTTCGTCATTTATTTATACACTTATAAAGTGCACACAATGAGCGATGAAAAAGGCTCTCGCTGAGAGCAAGACAGCTGAAATAAATGTGCCGAGACTCTAAACGCGGATATATTTAGGTATGTTGCGGGTAGAAAAGACATCACAAACACGAATCGACTAACTGATACGATGCTTTTACACGCAGCCTGCTAATTAACTCAAAATGTTCGAAAATTGACTCGAATATGAATATATGTAGCGCCAACCGTGCGCGCCTCTATCGCTATCTCGCTCGCACAATGTTTTGTGTATGTGACAGGAGTACTTACTTTATGTATTTCGTTTTTTTTTTTGTGTGTGTGTTTTGTTTTGTTTTTCCTCTCTATCTTATCTCTAGCTCTTTTTCATGCGCCTTTTTTTCTGTTTTTCTCTTTTATTCATTCAATTAATAGGAGTCGCTGGATTTTTCACGTTATATCTAATGTTTGGTGCCGCCGCTCAACTCTTATGTAACATTATTGCCGTCGGTTATCCAGCTTATATTTCGTTGAAGGCCTTAGAAACCAGCACCAAAGACGATGACACCAAATGGCTAACATACTGGGTGTTGTACGCTATTTTCTCCATCTTTGAATTTTTCACCGGCTACTTGCCCGTCATCATCCCATTCTACTACTTGTGGAAGGTAATAATTAATTCAAATTTCCCGGATATGCCCCTCATCCCATTTTATTGTAATTTAAAATCCAAATGCCATTTGTCAATCAATCGTGTTGTTTGACTTATACTTTGAACTTGCCCATAATCTAATACACACATTCGTTTCTGGTTTTGTTTTCATTTTCACAGTGCATCTTGTTTGTGTGGTGTCAATACCCAGCTGACAACAATGGATCCCACGTTCTCTATCAACGAGTAGTTCGACCATACTTCTTGAAACACCAAAATTCGGCTGACGATGCAATTGACAAGCTTGCAGATAAGGCTAAGGAACTCGTCGGCGATGTTCTCAAGAAGTCAAAATAAGCATATTTTTTTTCTCTTCTCGATTGTTGTCTCTTATTTAAACAAAAATTGTAATTTAATAGATACAACTTTTATCTCAACAATACAATAAATGCAACGATTTGCGCGCACGATTTTTCTCTTGACGCATTCAATATCATAATTAGGTCGTTTTTATTTCATTTTTACCCGTTCGTACTGTTCGTTTTTTTTTTCTCCTCGAAAGCAAGAGAGAGAAGCTCGTTATTTCGACTTTGCCCGCGTGTATCGCCGGATTCCAAAACAATGAACACATTAGTTTCGTTTTGTAAATACAACTAATCCAATTTTATTAGAGCACTAAATTCTCATACACGTGATAATGATTTAAAAAAAAAAAACAAGCTAATGTAGGTATTTATGATGATGTCTCTTGGGCTTCGCCACCCGTTGCTGCTTGTTGCGCCAGTTGCTTACGGTTTCGCCATGCCTTCATGTACGTTTGTGGTGCCATTGGGAACAAACCGGCCAAACCTAAACCAAAAGGACAAAAAGACAATCATTTTTGTTTCACAAAATAATTTTCACAATTTTTGTGGAAATTCAAAGGTCTATAGCAGTAGGATCGCCCCATAAATCAATGAATATCCCTCTTACCGAAAATTTCTGATGCCGGTATGGATACTTTGACACCTTCACCCAGCCAATATCGAATACGTTCTAAATTCAGTGCCACGAGTTTTTCATTATGTTCATTTGGCATTGGGTCCATCGAGCCAATTTGTTCTATCACTTGGTCTTTCACTTCGCGAAATTTCTAAATCATCAATTAGAAAGTCGATTTAAGGCGATTGATAAGAGTGTAAATTGTTCAAAAGTGGGGCAACGATCAACTGATTATGTATGAATTAATCGATTATATCAGTCGATTCGATGGCACCATTTCGTATTCAAGATTTTGAGTTGGTGTTGTTTGATATTCCAATTAGGTCTTACCTCAGCGACGACAATGTGATAGAAAGGTCGATTTGTGCATCCGCGATTCACCAGCCGTATTGTTTTGGTGCTATCTTTGAAAAATGTACCGGTGCCACCGGCTTTGTGCATCATTTTCACTAATCGTCGACACATTTTGTTGATTTATTCCAACGGACTGATGTAGAACGAAGAAAAAAAAAACGGATTGTTTATCAAGAACGTTTTTCAATTCCAAAAAGGATCGATCGGTCTTTGAAATTTAATTAAATTATATTTTTGGCTCAAGTAAACAAATTGTAGGTAATTGAAAATTTCTAGCGAGAAAATCTCGCATACTCCACAACATCACCCGTCAATTGGCAATAATAAAAAAAAAATAAATCAAATGAATAAACAATTAGGCTTCCAGATAATCTCGGTGTATTCAATTAGAAGTGTATTTTCTTTTATTTATTTTTTTCAAAAAAGAAAAACACTTACACAGGCGGTTTTGAGGTTAGACACACTGGGAACTGTCAGACGCGCGTGAATGCGAACATTCAATGCGATTTGACGATGGAAATAAACCGACGCCATTTTATGTCTTTGTTCAGAACTAAATCATTCGTCACACTCATTCGCTCCTACATTCATGAGTAATGAAAACACGCACACAATGCCGGATACCGTGTGTGTACCACTGAAATAACCCTAAACAAACTGACAACTTTGCGAATGCGAAAAAGAAATATGAACGAACGAAATTAACCTCCATACAAATGTGAACGTGCTATTACTGCTGCTGCCGCTGCGTGTATGTTTATGATGCAATGTATTTATGTGGTTTGCTATCAATTGAATTGTTTTTTTTTTCAATGGCTTTATTTGCATAATTATTGAATTTGATGAAAATGTTATTGCGTGCAAAATATTTCAATGAAATTTTCACATTTCCAATTGACTGATTCAACAGACTATATGATGTGTAAAACAAATCGATAATAATGTCATTTGTTTTAATCGCATTTCAGCGATATTTCGATTTGAAAAAATAAAAAAAATAGTCATTTAAATGGCAAAATTAATCGATTTGATCGCATTAAACAATCGATTTGATCGGTTTGGTTGCGAAATTCGTGCGGTAAACCGCGATGGATTTGAAGTGAGCGCGCTGAGAAAAGTGGCCAGAGTGCGTTCAAAGCCACGAACAAAACGCTATTCTTTGAATGTACAACCAATTTTTATTCATTACAAAGTTCTAGCGCATGCAGGTACGGACGGCATCAACTTTATCTAGTTTTTATTATTTTTCAAAATAATCTTAATCGCAAACCAACGGAAATCTAGTAATAAATTATTGCCAAATTGTTTAAAAAATCAAGTGAATTTAGTGGAAATAGCCGAATGTTGTGCGTGTGTGAATAAAATGCGATAGTTTTTTTTTTCTGCTTTGCCATTGCTTTCATTGGTATACGGTCAAAGCGAAATGATTTGGTTGTCTGTTGAAAAGGATTTTGACTGCGACAGAATGGCGTCTACACACTATTCAATGTTTGAATCAAGAATTTTTTTTTTCTCGCTTCTTCGAAATGAAATTCGCTGCGTGTATTTTGCTTTGGATCCAAACAAATGTGTTTTCAATTGCATATTTTCGCCGAAATTGATTGAGTGCAAATAATATGCATGCATTACTGGGCAGCGATAAATAATTTTTTTTTTCTATTTTCGTCGAAATCAGCAAATGAATCGATCGAAAGTGTTTCCAAGTCTTGAATAATGTCTGTAAAATTTTTCCATTAAAAATTACATAGTATAATCTGACACACTCATAATTTTTGGTTACAACATGCATAACGGTGTATGAAATTGGTGTGGTGACTGCGACCGATGTGTGTACTGCTGCGGCTGCTGTGTGTTTGTCTCGCTTTGTGTGTGTGTGTGCGTTTAAGAAAGCAAGGCGGAGAGTGACGAGAAATAATGAAATAAAAAGAGAAACGCAACGCGAAAAAAAAAACGCACAGAAATAATGATGAAGAAGAATTGAAATGAATGAAACAATTGAAAAGGAGAAGCAATAAAATAATACAGAAAAGAGAGTTTATGAAGTGTGAGATGGTATTATGAATTTTTTTTCGCTGTGGCTGCTGTGCTGCTGCTGCTTTTCTTTTTAATGTCGGCCTCTTTGTTAAATACCGCGACACAGTTGTACCAACCTGTCGTTGCAACTTCATATTGTAAAATGCCGAAAATAAGAGAGCAAGAAAAGACACACACACACGGTTCACAAGCACAAACGCACACCATCAAAAGCGTGGTGGTACGACGACCACAACGAGTTCTATCGCGTTTGCGATGAGAAGTTCATTCGTTTTCGATTTTAGTATAAAATATTTGTGTGCATGTGTTTGCTAGTTAGCCCGACGTTGAAAATACCTGCGTATTATTATTTTTTTTTTTTTTGGTTCAATTTCATCGGAAAAGGATCGTTCTCGTCGTGACAAAATCAATCGCAAATCAGTAATTTTGACGTCGCATCAATTCTCATCCAAATTTTTTCGGTATACAGCACATTCAATCATAGTTTTTGAGATGCTTTGAAGCGTGTATGATTTCTACTCTCTTTTACATACATAATAACATAGAGATAGAAAGAAGGAGACGCAAAAAAAAAATCGTCTCAGTTCGGTTTTTTCTTTCTGTTCAAAGCGGATAGTTTGTCGATGGCGCAATTGACAGTAGCAACGTTCGGCTTTTAACCACTAATTTAGGGACCATTTCGAACAACGTAAATGCACAGTGTGTCCAACATTCACTCATATTGAACTCTTCTTTCTTTTTCGTTGTTTTTGTTCTCTGTTACAACTTTTTTTTTTCTGCGTATAGCTACTTGTAAATACAGTGTACATAGCGATGAGCACACAAACCAGATCGAGCGGCGGAAGTCGCAATCAAACTAATAAGAAAAACACATCAACCACAGGTGGTGGCGGTGGTAATGAGACCAATTTCCAGAAGAAATCAGATCACGCCAAAACAGACAAAGAGAAACCACAGCTGTAAGTTGCAATTGTTTTTCTTCATTTCTTTCTAATTAGGTTCTATTTATAGTTCGATTATTTCGAAATTGTTTTATGAAATGTCATAATCATCATCGTCGTCGTCGTCGTCGTATATGATTCATTTTCTGAGTAGCTGATAAAACGAAACGAAATGAAACGTTTATTAATGCCGTTTGTGTTTGTGATTTGTTTTTTTTTTCCATGTGTTTATTTTGCAGCCATGTAAAAGCGCCAACCGCTGAACAGATTCGTATTGCTCAAATCACAGAGATTAGCACCGGTTCAGATGATCCAAAAATGCGCGAAAAAGTGGCCAACCTTATGGAAACCACTCAGCGCACGGAAGAAGAGGTCTGTTGTGCATTATACGAATGTGACAACGATCTTGATCGAGCAGTCATATTTCTGTTCGAAACGCTTCCAGTCGTAAGTATTGCCAGCCATCATTCGCTTCGACGCTCCATGAATGTCTATGACTAACGATGTTGTTGTTTTTTTTTTTCTTTGAAATTCCAAATCTAGGGTGCGTTTGAAACATCATCAAAAAAGAAAAAGAATCGTTTAGCCGGGTCTGGTGACGCTGCAGCTACTGATGGCGAGTGGAACGAGAACAATAATGCCGGTAGCAGTGGCTCAAATAACAATCCGAACAACAACACCGATTACCGTGAGTGGATTTTTTTGTTTGGTTTTCATCACGAGCCGCAATTCATTCTCGTATTTCTTTGATAAATTATCAAAGTGATCGCAAGAATTGACCGATACATAGGAATAGACATGATAAATGTTTACTTGTTGTTCCATTTCTACAGAGAAACCTCGTACTCGTGGTAATGTTCGCGTTGGACGTGGTAATTCAGACAGTCGCGGTTGGCGTGGCAGAGAATCCCGGGAAAATGAACGTAACGCCGGTGGTTCTGGTGATAACAAATTAAACCAGAACAGTGGGCCACGGAGAGGACCACCAAATAGTTTCCGAAACGGTGGTTTTGGTGCCGGCAGAGGAGGCCGCTCTGGAGGGTAAGTAAAATACTTGATGCCATTCTTTTGGCTTGAACAACATTTTTTTTTTGGATAAATAAAACCAGCCAAATGAATGCGTTCTATTTTTCCATTGGAAAATGTTGCTTCTGACGAAATTGAATACGTTGTTAGTTTGTTGTTTTTGTGCAACGTTCGCACAATAGCAACTGTTGGCTTGCGATGAGTCATTGATTTTCGTTTGTGTGCAACGTGTATTTTGAATTGTTTTTTTTTTTTGTTCTTCGTTGCGATGCAACAGTCGCTTAGGGCCGAGAAGTTCACGAGATCAAAATCGTGGCAACTACTTTAGATCTCAAGATGAAAATGAGACAGCCGTTGATACGTGGGACAACAATATAGCATTGAATGCTGCCGAACAAACAAAATCGGATGACACGTGGGGTGATTGGGATAATGAGGAATATACTGGTTCTTTGGCTGATACCAAAGTATTTACACCGAGTACAGTACAAAACCAAACATTATCACATGCCGAACAGTTGTCCGCACCACCGGGCTTGGAGCAGCAAATTCTCAGTCCACCGTCTCAGTTGAACGACGATTTGGTTCAGCAATACAGTACGAACACTGTATCAAGCACACCATCGGCTGTGTCTGTGGGCAATAACAACAGCAATCAGGTGCAATATTCGGATCTTCACGTTCAATCGTCCACGAATGCATCGCATCTACGACCAGCCATGGATATACCATTGAACTCGTCCTCATTGTCTGCCGAACAGTCTCAGTATTTCAATTCGCTATCGTCTCAGCCGGTCAGTGCTGTGCAGTATTCGTCGCCATATGCCTGTAAGTGTGACAAAGAAAAGAAACCCCCTTTTTTTCATCTACGAAAAATCGATCAGAAATCGATCGTTCCGAACCGAAAAATAACACTTTATCTACTCCACAAATAGATAAATCGAACATCAACGACGCTGATCAAGTAGTTGCAGGCCAACCACAAATCCAACCGGTTGCTAATCGTAATAGCAAACGGGCGCGTGTACCACCTCCATCGAAAATTCCATCATCGGCTGTGGAAATGCCAGATACGCTCAGTAACATTGGATACCTCGATGTACAGTTTGGCGCACTCGATTTCGGTTCCGAAGAAACGTTCGATACAATTTCCGATAAATTCCAATCGTCAAACATAGTTGATAATTCACAAAATGTGGCCGCCACCGATGTGTCAACCGATTATCAGTCGAAATCACAGGGATCGAACAGTCTGCAACAATCGCAATTGATTTCAAATTCAGATGCATTGGCCGGACAAACGGAGAATTTGTCAACAACCGGCTATAGCCAACGTCAAAATAGTTCAGTTGTACAAACGCAAACGGCATCGGCTAACACATTGGCTAATGCCAGCGCTGGTAAGTGTTTGCGAATGCAACACAACAAAGCCTTCAACTCTTTACATTTGATGAATGAATCTAAACCGTTTCTCTTTCTCTTCCTCTCCCTATCCGTCTTCAGCGCTCGAACAATTAACAAAGTCTGATCATTACGTAAATCAATCTAATGTAAATGCCACATCCGTATCCGGAAATGGTGCAAGCACATCGGGTACCTACCAAACATATACAAATAAATCGTCGACCGTGTATCAGCCGTCGAATGTTGCGCCCCAAAGTTACAACAATTCAAATTACGCCAACACCCAAGCTTCAAACAGTTCCAATTATTCGTCATCAACAAATACGTATAATTCCTATAACCAAGGACCGGTGAATTCGTATCAAACGCAACAATCCAATCTTACTAATAGTGTTAATAATACAAGTAGTGTAACGAATGTATCGAATAGTGGCTCGACATCGGTTGGAAGCACCAGCTCAGTGAATAATGCCAGGTAAAATGCCATTTCGATTGTAATTTCTCTTTCGTTTTTCTTTTGTAAAGTGTTTTTTTGTTCCACACTAATTCTTGGTTTGTGGAATTTTTTTTTTCTCGTTATTCTCTCTATATCTCTATCACTTGATCACATTACACACACGTTGCGCGTGCTCTCACATACCCTTACATATTGATATTGAATTTGACAAGCTTGGTGTTTTGTTTTTTTTTTTTTTTTCTACCCGCTACTCAATTGATAAACCAAATAACCAATGGTTAATCTGTTGTTTTTTTTTACTTGAAATTTGATTTTTATTTTTTATTTTTTTTCATGTCTTCTTTTTTTGTTGTTCTACTAATCAAATGCTAATCGACTAATTCAATGCGTACAGCTCCAGTGCGAATACCGGATATCTATCAAATCAATATCCGAGTAGCCAGACGTCGTCTGTGTATCCAACACAAGCGAGTGCTTATCAAAATAACCAGAGTGTGTACGGAAGCAGTAGTCTAAACAACAATAATTCAGGGTAAGTGTCAATTGCAAATAGTGCAACGCTGCGTGCACCGATTTCGGCACAATGGGAAAAAAGCATATCATTCATAATGAAGGGAAAACAAAATGCGCTGCAGCTAGCAGCAAGCAACAAAAGTCACATTCCAAACATACTTTTTCTGTGTATGTTCCATTTTCCATCTACCATCCTCCATAATCATGTGATATTTTTAATTGTGTTGTTTGTTGTTATTTTTTTTTTTCGTTTATTCTTTTCGATTTTTCGTTCGTTTAAATTCCTCATTCCGACCGTAGTCGACTGGGTTTTGGTGTCACTGTTCATAGAATTCATTATTCACCATCATCAAACACATTTGAATTATTGATAAAACGCAAGCAAAACAAACAGACCTAAATCCAATTGTATCGCATTGCGCGCGCGCGCGCTTCTTCATCTTCATGTATAAACAATTCGATAAACAAATTTCTTTTTCGCTATCTTGTGTTCACTTGTGCCCGAAATGACACACGACAGCATGACAACAACTGAAAAAAAGAAGGAAAACCTTATCGAATTGTCGATACAAATACTTGTACAGTATAATGTAACCATCATGCGGGAAGGTTTTTTCGTTTCTTCCTTTAAATTTATCGTTAAATGTCACACACATTCGTCCAATACTACCAACAAAAACAAAACAACATTAAAATTAAACTCAACTCAAATACCCATTCAAATGCATCATGGTAACCTTTAGGTACACGGGAAACACTAATACATCAACATCGCAGTATAGTAGCTTTAGCGGTTCAAAGTTAAATAAAGACTCAACACCCGTAACAACCATCTATGACAGGTATGTTTGACTTTTGACCCCGTTTCTATCACTCATCCACACTTTTTCTCTCTCACACTCACGATATCGACAAAACATAATTGTACCACGCTCAATTTCACACACACATTTGCCTCTAACTCTATTTGTCTACCTGGCCCATTAACCCATATCACATGTGATTTGTATGCCAGCTTGTTTGTAAATTCACACCACATTCACATCATTTTTTTTCCGATTTACTAATTAGAAAGGGAGATGAAAGTTATTCATTTGGTTATATATTTCATTGCTATATTATCGTTATTATTTAATGTACTTTGAATATTTTGTACGGGATTTGAATTGGGCGCGAAACATTTATATTCGCTTCGTTGTTATTGTATTCGTCGTCGTCGTCGTTGCCGGCCGTGGCGTCGTCATCATCGTCGTCGTCGTTGTTGTTCATTTACCTCAATCAATGTTAATGTTTGTGTCTTCTTTTTCTTTCTTTTTTTTTCACTCTCGTCTACAGTACATTGTCAAGTAGCACGCAAAGCGTTGGAGCCAACAACTCGGCCAGTAACACAAGCGGTAACAGTAATAGCAGCTTGAGCTCACCATCAATCGGATTGACAAATACAAAGGTGACTAATTCCACTGCTAAAAGTACTGGAGGTGGAAATGTTGTGTCAAATATACCAATGGTTAGTCAATATATACCGACTGGAATGCCATTCTATCAGCAGCCTGTCTATTCCTATGAGGATATTCAGATGTTGCAACAAAGAATCCCGCCGCATGTGGTGAGTCCATTCGCCAACAGAAACAATCAAAACAAAACAAAAAAACACACACACCAAAAACATAATTCAAACTCCCCCCCAAAAAAAAAACATACAATTCACCAAATTTTGATTTTTATAACCATTCTTTCAATTAACAATTATACTTTTTTTACTCTGAACATCCATTTCATCCCTGTTTTCACACACACACACACACACACACACACACACACACACATTCACACTCACATTAACTTATTTTGGGAAACGATTTACTACTTACACATTTCCACTTGCTCTAAACCAAAACCAATTGACTTGGACATTTAAAAAAAAAAAAAAAACCAATTGATAGTAGAGAGTAATATTATAAATTCTACCATACTTTAATCCCTCCTTTTCAAAATCTGTCTACTACCCATACAATTAGTAATTTGCAATTTTGTACAAATCGCTTCTTCATTTCATACAATTTATTTATTTATTTTGTCTTTTTCTTTCGCATTAAATTTTTAACATTTACCAAATTCCATACATTTCTATCAATAATTGACACGTTTGTCACACACTCAAATGCAGATCATTTGTTCGGAGAGTATTTGACGTGTGCGCCAGCGTATTTAAATAGGTGTAGTTGTTTAATGCGTATTTTCTTTTTTCTCGTATCTTTTTTTATTTCTACGCACTTTTATCTCCCGTTGTTTATCAATCATCGTCACTGTTGTTGTTGTCGTCGTCGTCGTCTTCGTCCATACACAGCCTGCCGGATATTACGATATCAATTATCAGACACCCACCAGTCTTGGTGCTTCTGGCGTACGTGATGGCAACTTGGGCTCCGTAGCTTATTCCACAATGTCCGATGGCCGATTCGCTCGAACCGATAATAATTCGAGTCCAGTTAGCAATGTTCCTAGTACAATGTCACAGCAAACTGGTTCCGGTGGTCCAATGCTAAATCTTCCGTATGCCTATTTCTATGGTGCAAACATGATGCCTGGAAGCTTTCAGTATGGTACACCAGCACTATACCCGCAACAATTAGCCACGAATGCATCGTCGAATGCACAATTCGCCAAACCATCGTACAACAGTGCGTACGGTTCGTCTGGCTACGATGCGCTCGGTCAAACAACACAAGACTACAATAAGACTGCTTATCAAGGTAGCGGTACACAGCAATCGAAGGGGCAAAATGTATCAAATCAGCCACCAAGTGGCACTGGAACAGACATTTCGTCATCGATGTACGGTAACAAAAACCATGCTGCTCTAAGCAAAGTCAATGTGAGTACAATGCATGAGTCACCGTTCATTTTGGGTTTTTTTT